CCCTGCACCTGCATGGAGACCTAGAGGAAGCTTCTGGTTCCTGGCTTCAGATCAGCCCAGCTCTGGCCATTGTAGCCTTCTGGGGAGCGAACAGAGAATGGATGACCTTTCTCTCTGTCTCTTTCTCTACCTCTCAAATGAATAAATAAAAATCTTAAAGAAAAAATGAGCAAATATTTTTTAAGAACAGTAAGTTTATTTTGGTACAAAAATAACTTGAAGGGGCTGGCACTATGGCGTAGTAGGCTGGACCTGCACCTGAGGTGCCAGCATCCCATTTGGGTACCAGCTCATGTCCCAGTTGTTCCTCTTCCAAATCAGCTCTCTGCCTGTGGCCTGGGAAAGCAGTAGAAGATAGCCCAACTACTTGGGCCCCCGCACCCGCATGGGAGACTTGGAGGAGGTTCCTGTCTCCTGGCTTTAGTTTGGTCTAGCTCTGGCCATTGCAACCATTTGGGGAGTGAACCAGCGGAAGGAAGATCTTCTTCCCTGTTTCTCCCTCTCTCTCTCTCTGTAACACTACCTCTGAAGTAAATTTTTTAAAAAAAAATCTTGAAATTCATGCACAGTTTTTTTTCATAAAATACATTTTTCATGAATTTTTTGAAGACCTCTCATATGCATGGATTTCAAAAATTTCTTGCACCAAAATGAACTTGTTTTAATTCCATTTGTATGAACTTTCTGAATCACCCTCATATTATCTCATCTGATAAAACAGCAGTGAAGTCGGCAGGATTGTCTCTTCGTAAATGCTGAAACTGGGCCGGCACTGCGGCTCATTCAGCTAATCCTCCACCTGCGGCGCCAGCACCCCGGATTCTAGTCCCAGTTGGGTCGTCAGATTCTGTCCTGGTTGCTCCTTTTCCAGTCCAGCTCTCTGCTGTGGCCCGGGAAGGCAGTGGAGGATGGCCCAGGACCTTGGGCCCTGCACCCGCATTGGACACCAGGAGGAAGCACCTGGCTTCTGGCTTCTGGCTTCTGGGTTCGGATTGGCGCAGCGTGCTGGCTGCAGTGACACTGGCCGTAGCGGCCATGGCGGGGTCGGTGGGGGGGACCAACAGAAAAGGAAGACCTTTCTGTCTCTCTCTCTCTCTAACTCTGCCTGTCCAAAATAAATAAATAAATAAACGCTGAAACTGAAGACCAGAAAGGTTCATGTGATCAGAGTCTCCACAGTCAGTGACTTAAACCAGGCAAGATTCCTCCTCTATCCCAGCTGTCTTTCAAACAGGAATGCGCTACAACATCCACAGGCCATTGGTAACTGGACAAAAGCTGCATTTCCACAGCGTGTCCTAAGGGCACTGCCTTTCTAACACTACAGTCTTTCCCAAGATGCAATGCCTTCTCCCACAGCTGCTGTGTAAGGAACTTCTGAAGTCAATCAGCCAATGTTCCCCCAGCAGAAGCCTTCATCCACCATTTCTCCCGAGACACCAAGAAAGCGGGAACTCGTCGTCAGCTTCTGAACTCAAGTCACACTCCTAAGTGGCAGCTCCTACAGAGGAAACTCTCGTCCAGAAAGTAAAAGAGCTGACAAGTAGCACAAATCTAGTTCAGTTTAAAATTAACTGTCTCCCTTCTCATACACAAAAATAAATTAGATAAATAGAAGATGGAAATACTGGACCTGAACTGCAAGCTCCGTGAGGGTCGAGGCAGGGTGGGAATGGAACTACCCCCCACCCCCCACCCCAGCTCCAATGTGTGTTATTGAGAGGTGAGGGGCAGAGCTGATGGCTCACAGTGAAGAAAGAACTTGCTCTTACCACAAGCTAAGGCAGGAGCAGACTTCCAACAGGCGATCTGAAAGGGGTAGTTCCACGCTCCTATTCCCACACACACCCCAAGGGGTTCTCTCCTGGTATAACCGAAGGATCCACCCGGGAGCTGGATATGTTCCCCTAAGGGAAAAACAGAGAAGTGAGGAAGCATGCAGGTCTGGGGCCCCCAGAGTCCACGGACATCCCACAAGTACACCACTCTGACTGGAACTTCAGGCCAACCAACCCCACCACTGCTCCCAAAACACTGGGGTCACCCCATCTCCATCCAGAGAAACCTACCTACCCTTCAAGCATGCGACCATCCAGCCCAAGCCACCTCCCACAAGAATCACTGCGCCTCTACTCAACCCCTCAGATGGGATGAACTGAAAACAAAGGGGAGACTCCGGGGCACCAACACCTCGGCCCTGCGGGGCCCTACCAGCTCTCTACTGCATAAACTGTCAAAGAACCATCTGTTAAGATTAGTAAATAGGACATGCTCACTCCTGGGGTTTCTCAGCAACTTGGTCTAACACTCAGGTCCCGCTCTGAATGCTCCACATGCAATACCTCATTTAATCCTTACAACCACCCAGGAAGGCCGGGGTTCCCATGTGCAGCTGAGATAAGAAAAGAGAAAGCAGTCCCTGGGTCACTGACGTAGAAAGTGATGAACACGGGACTTTAGCCCCGGCCTGTCTTAATTCTCAGAACGCTGCCCTTCACCACCTGGCCCTGCTCTCTGTCTCCTGCACGTGATCTCAGAGGCCTGGGAGAAGACTTACCAGCCATGGATGCAGCCAAGCCTGCATAGTATTCCAAGCACTGCCAGGAGGTGTCTATGTCCCAGCGGGCCTCAAAGATGGACTTTCCGTTGTTGATGGTCTCCACGGTGGCAATTTCATCCTTTCTTTCCTTTTGGATAAAACAGGAGACTACATTTAGACATATTACAGGGGCCGACGCTGTGGCACAGTGGGTTAAAGCCCTGGCCTGAAGTGCCAGCATCCCATATGGGCACTGGTTCTAGACCCCCACTGATCCTCTTCCAATCCAGCTCTCTGCTATGGCCTGGGAAAGCAGTAACTTGATGGCCCAAGTCCTTGGGCTCCCTGTAGGAGACCTGGAAGAAGCTCCTGGCTTCAGATCGACTCAGCTTCGGCCGTTGCAGCCATCTGGGGAGTGAACCAGCAGATGTAAGTCTTCCCTCTCTGTCTCTACTTCTCTGTGTTAACTCTGTCTTTCAAATAAATAAGATTAAATTTAAAAAGAGACATATTACAATGTCTTGATGGATGCAATGATCAACCAAAATGCATTACTTAATTTTTAAAAATAAAAACAGCTTGAGTATGGCATTATGCCATACGGGTTAAGCTGCCGCCTGCAATGCCAGCAACCCATATGAGCAACCAGTTTGAATCTGGCTGCTCCACTTCTGATCCAACACCTTGCTAATACACCCAGTAAAGCAGCAGAAGATGGCCTAAGTCCTTGGATCCTGCACCCCATGTGGGAGACTGGGAAGAAGCTCCTGGCTCCCAACTTCCACCTGGCTCAGCTTTGGCTGTTGAGACCATCTGGAGAGTGAACCAGTGGGATGGAAGATCTCTCTCTAACTCTGCCTTTCAAATAAATCTTTTCTAAAAAAGATTTATTTATTTATCTGAAAGGCAGAGAGAGGCAGAGGCAGAAGCAGAGAGAGAAAGAGAGGTCTTCCATCTGCTGGTTCATTCCCCAAATGGCCACAACGGCCAAAGCTGGGCCAATCCGAAGCCAGGAGCCAGGAGCTTCTTCCAGGTCTCCCACATGGGTGCAGGAGTCCAAGGACCTGGGCCATCTTGTACTGCTTTCCCAGGCCATAACAGAGAACTGGATCAGAAGTTGAGCAGCAGGGACTCGAACTGGCGCCTGTATGGGATGCTGGCACTGTAGACAGCGGCTTTTACCCGCTACACCACAGCGTTGGCCCCTCAAATAAATCTTTAAAAACTAAAATGTATATATCTATATACATATATATAGATATATAAAATATAAACATCTTTCACTTTAAATGAAAAGAAATACTCACTTTACATTTGAAAGAGAGATAAAAACCTACTACTAAACAACCTAGATTTCCTTTCAAGTAAATTAACCAATTTGAGAACACAGCCTCATTTCAAGATCAGTTAGATCTTGAAAGAATGTTTTGAGAAATGACTGTTATAAGCACATGTGTATAAATATGTACATTCTGTTTGTGCATATATGGTAAGAGAGAACAGTTCTTTAGGAAATTCTACACAACAGTCTAAGACACAATCGGCATGTACAAAATTATCACATCACTTTAATTTTCCCAAAGAAACACAGCATACTCTTTCCTAATACTTTCTGATGCACAACACTCATCAATGCTCTCTTCAAACACGGTTTCTAGTTCTGGCCCATATGGAATGCTGGCACTGCAGGCCAGGGCTTTAACCCACTGCGCCACAGCGCTGGCCCCCAGACTGTTTCCTTGTTTCTCTGTTTCTTTCCTTCCTCCCTTCCCTTCCTTCCTCCCTCCCTCCCTCCCTCCCTCCCTCCTTCCTTCCTTCAATATTTATTTTGTTTATTTGCAAGGTAGAATTACAAAGAGAGAGGGGGACAAATAGAGAGATAGAGATCTTCCATTCCTTGGTTCACTCCCCAAATGGCCTCAACAGCCAGGCCTGGGCCAGGCCAAACCAAGGAGCCAGAAGCTTCCTCTGGTTCTTCCATGTGGGTGCAGGGGCCCAAGGACTTGAGCCATCTTCTGCTGCTTACCCAGGTGCATCAGCAGAGAGCTGGATCAGATGTGGAGGAGCAGGGACTTGAACCAGCACCCATGTGGAATGCAGACACTGAAGGCAGTGGTTTAACCGTAACACCACAGTGCTGGCCCTAGATTGTTTTTAGGCTCAGATTGATTTTACAGATGCATAGTTGTCTTCTTCCTCTTCTTCTTCAAAAAGGACAAAAAAATTTTTTATCGCTTTAAAAATCAAAAGTACTAGTTGCTTATTACAGGAAGTTAGAAAATTCAGAAGAATGTATACCAAAATGTGACTCCTGGATGTCTCTGAGTAGGAGGACTGCATCGAGTTTTGGTGAGAGTGTGTGTGTTAAGGCAAACACTGCAAAGCATCTGAGTGTTACCTCTCTTGTAAGAATCATCTGTATGAGGGGATCTTCAAAAAGTTCAGTGTTGGTGCACCGTCACCTGCGATGCCGGCATCCCAAGTGTGCTCCAGTTTGAGTCCTGGCTGCTCCATTTCCAATCCAGCTCTGTGCTATTGCACCTAGGAACAGCGGAAGCTGGCCCAAATGCTTGGGCCCCTGCCATCCACATCAGAGATCTGATTGGAGCTCCTGGCTCCTGGCTTTGGCCTGGGCCAGTCCTGGCTGTTTTGGCCATCTGGGGAGGGAACCAGCATGTGGAAGATCAATCTCTTTTTGTAGAAGGTTGACCTGTGGCGGTGAATAGGATGTTTGAGGTAAGAGCTTTCTGATCAAAACGTTAAGTTCTAGTTTGGCTTATATCAAACGGTTATAGTAAAGTGAGAAAAGAAGGAAATTATAAATATGGAATTTTTTTTTTCCTGACAGAGAGTGGACAGTGAGAGAGAGAGACAGAGAGAAAAGTCTTCCTTTTTGCCATCGGTTCACCTCCCAATGGCCGCCACTGATCCGATGGCAGGAGCCAGGTACTTATCCTGGTCTCCCATGGGGTGCAGGGCCCAAGGACTTGGGCCATCCTCCACTGCAACAAAAATATAACTCAAAGACTCAGAAGCTTTCCATATTGTGAGAAATGAGAAAACATGTTTGGGAGAGAACATGCGGCATGTGCTGAGTGATCCTTTGACACCTATGGGTCTTCAAGGCACTGTTCATCAACAGTGAAGAACTCTCTCTCTTCTTCTCTCCCTCTCACACTGTAACTCTGCCTTCCACATAAATAAAGAACTCTTTTAAAAAACAAAGAAAGTTCATGGAAAGTATGCATTATGAAGAAAACCGCCAGCACCGCGGCTCACTAGGCTAATCCTCCGCCTGGCGGCGCTGGCACACCGGATTCTAGTCCTGGTCGGGGCGCCGGATTCTGTCCTGGTTGCCCCTCTTCCAGGCCAGCTCTCTGCTGTGGCCCGGGAGTGCAGTGGAGGATGGCCCAAGTCCTTGGGCCCTGCACCCCATGGGAGACCAGTATAAGTACTGGGCTCCTGCCGTCGGATCAGTGTGGTGCGCCGGCCGCGGCGGCCATTGGAGGGTGAACCAACGGCAAAGGAAGACCTTTCTCTCTGTCTCTCTCTCTCACTGTCCACTCTGCCTGTCAGAAAATAAAAATAAATAAAAATAAAAAATAAAAAGAACCATGCCTGGATTTCAAAATATTTTTGCACCAAAATAAACTTACGTGTTCATTTTTTTCTACCAGCATTTGAAATATCCTCATAAATACCTTCATATATGCGTATGTAAGAGAGAGAGAGAGAGATTTGAAGCTTTGGATCAGAGAAAAAAATGGCTTATTGCTTACAGCACAGGGCAGCAGCCAGATCAGTGTCCTAGCACGCTAGTTTTCCAAACCCAGTCTCCACAAGGTGATGTGAGAGCCATGTTACCTGTGCATGCAGTAGGTTGCTCTGTGGCTGGAGCCATCACAGGCCTGGTCTCACCAGTTTCCCTCTCCCAAGGATCACTGCCGGAGCTCCCGGATTGATGTCTAGTGTTTGAAACACTTATTGTTTCACGTATTTTCTCTGGGGTTTTCTTCATTTAAGAAGGGAAAATAAATCTGATTCCTGTTGCTCCATGTTGGTTGGAAGCCCCTAGGTGCCTAGAGGAACTGAACATTTATCTTCACTTTTCTACATGTTTATTAGCCACACATTCCCATTTTTACTGTGAGCCCTTTGGTATTTTTACAAGATTATAAAGATCTTATCTGTGGGGCTCGATCATTTTCCAGTTGGTAACTGTCATTTGGCTTACGAGGAAAGGGAAGGAAATGGGTACTTAGCCTAGCCTGTAGGACCCTGGAGTCCTGGGTCCAGTTCCTGGCTCTGGCTCCTGACTGTAGCTTCTCATCAGTGCGGACACTGGGAGACAGTGATGATGGCTCAAGTAATTGTGCTTCTGCTGTCTATGTGGAGTATTCCTGACTCCTGGCTTCAACACCAACCCAGCCCCACTCGTTACAGTCATCTGGGGAGTGAACCAGTCTGTGGGAGTTCTGAAGAAAGACAGAAAGACAGACAGACAGACAGACAGAAAGAAAGAAAGAAAGAAAGAAAGAAAGAAAGAACGAAAGAAAGACAGACAGAAAGAAGGAAAGAAGGAAGGAAAGAAGGAAAGAAAAAGAAAGAAAGAAAGAAAGAAAGAAAGAAAGAAAGAAAGAAAGAAAGAAAGAAAGAAAGAAAGAAAGAAAGAAAGAAAGAAAGAAAGAAGAAAGACAGACAGAGGCAAGATTATTTAAAGCGATGACAGCACTGCACTGTTTAAAGAAAGAAAACATTATGTATATGGATTACCTGCTGGCTTCCGGGCCTGGCCGAGGTCAGTTTGCCTTGTCGGGTGCCATCAAAGTGATGCCTCTACAGGTACAGCATGTTTGACTACGCTGCTCCCCCGGGTAGATCGCCAGTGCAGCTTTTGAGACTGGCTGCCAGGCCCCTATTTCTTCAGGCTCATCTTCCCTCTCTATACACTGTGCCCCTCGCTGTCCTGCCCTACTGGCCTCCCTCGGTCCTGTGTACACTGTCCCCTCCCCACATACTGTGCACGTGCTGTAATGCTCTCTCGGCCCTGTGTACACTGTCCCCCCACATACTGTGCACGTGCTGTAATGCTCTCAGCCCTGTGTACACTGTCCCCCCACATACTGTGCATGTGCTGTAATGCTCTCTCGGCCCTGTGTACACTGTCCCCCCACATACTTGTGCACGTGCTGTAATGCTCTCTCGGCCCTGTGTACACTGTCCCCCCACATACTGTGCACGTGCTGTAATGCTCTCTCGGCCCTGTGTACACTGCCCCCCCACATACTGTGCACATGCTGTAATACTCTTTCGGCCCTGTGTACACTGCCCCCCCACATACCGTGCACGTGCTGTAATGCTCTTTCGGCCCTGTGTACACTGTCCCCTCCCCCCATACTGTGCACGAGCTGTAATGCTCTTTCGGCCCTGTGTACACTGCCCCCCCCCCACATAATTGTGCCCGTGCTGTAATGCTCTCTCGGCCCTGTGTACACTGTCCCCTCCCCACATACTGTGCACGTGCTGTAATGCTCTCTCGGCCCTGTGTACACTGCCCCCCCCACACACATAATTGTGCCCGTGCTGTAATGCTCTCTCGGCCCTGTGTACACTGTCCCCCCACATACTGTGCACGTGCTGTAATGCTCTCTCGGCCCTGTGTACACTGCC